GGTGGGGGGGGAGGGGAGGAGGGGGAGGGGCGCAAGCGAATTCGAACATTTTGTTGCGTAAATGCGCTCCCTTTAAATGTCAACTAAAATGCCAGTTTTTAGATTATGCCTATAATTAGGAAAATAGTCGTGGTAAATAAATAAAGTAACGGGGAATGTGTTTAGGCAAAAGCGCAAGTGTTTTGCAAACACGCAGCAGAAAGCCTAAAATAGCAGGATAAAAGTTGAAGAAGAAAAAGGTGAGATCTAAGTTTGGGATACATGTTATCTACTCACCATTTGATTGCTAATTACTTCTCGTTATCCAGTTTGCTTTACTGAGTAACAATGCTTCCTGTCTTTATGTTTTACATGCGCTTTTGGTAGTAACGTCGGAAGAAGTTGACAGTATTCATTAAATTGGGGGTGTGTGATAGACTTATCTCCACGTGGTGCACCCTGGGCAACATATCCTCATACGGCAAAAAAGTCTATTACCTGGCAGTTGACTTCAAACTATTATGACCCCACAGTATGTCATATTCGACTACTTCCACAATGCTCACCTCACCTTTTTTCCACCTTACCTACCTTCATCTTTGATACACTCTTCTGTCCCCCCCCCTTTTGAATTTTTTACACTTCGATCTTCCTTCCCCTCTGTGAAGACTGAAGTCAATTAAACGGCTAATGATAACAATCAAAACGCCTGCCATTTGATATAATAAGTATTCACTAAATTTTTGCAATGGAAATAGGGTGGTCTGCATAATTTTCATGCTTACTGAAGAAAACTGAGTGAATGAGGGTTCAATCAAAAGGCGAATACGAGAAATATTAGATTACTCTATTTTAATAGGAAAAATAATGTATTTTTTCGATGGCTGTTTATTGCAAACAGTATTGAATAAGAGTTATCCTGTTGTGTCGATCAGCGATCCTTTTTTGCAGAAAGGTTAAATGACAGCAAATTTTCTTATATTTCTGGATATATTTATCTGCTCAGTAGTTTCCAATTTTTTATGTTTATATTCAGATATCCGCCATTTTTTTTGGAAAAGATCTAACTGCAGATGATTTTATAATGCTAGATCTGGTCCACTCGTTTCAAGTCTTGGATAAAATACTGCGAGTAATTTCTAGCAACTCCGACGTTCATCTGGCTTGAAATTTACAATTACATGTTATATTCATTTATCAGTGATTGGAACACGGATCTCCGACAGGCCAAATTCGGTTTAGGTAAAGACGGATTGCGATTGAACGAGAGTCTCGATATAGAACGTATTAAAAAGCCTTTTATGAGCTTTCATGGTGGGAGTTCTTTTACTGATAACCAAAATGCATTTATTACAACTATTGCCTTAGAGGATTACCTTAATATACACTTCGAAATCACAAAAGTAACAATTTCTAGCAGTTAAAATTAGCTAAAGTGGCAAATAGATAGGAATGTTGGTGTTGATTGTCAATTAAACGCAAGGTTTACATATGAATCTGTAGCAATGAAGAACAAATCAACTAAAATCTAATTTGATTGGAAAAGGAAACTGGGACATCTGACGATGTTGAACTCTGCTTCGTGGTGGGCAAAGATGAATTTTATTTTGGACTAAAGAAAATCGATAGTAATACACATAGTGAGCCAATTATAAGAGCTTGTGACGTTTCGTATGTATTATTCCTGTTATTAGCACTTCAAGTTTTGCTAACCATCCACTTTGGTCGCATTCTGGTTCTTGGAACTTGCAAGTTTTCAGATGCACTTTTAAGGGCTCTAAATGAATTACAACTGATTTACGAAATGCATGAGTACAAAAAGTACAAACATTTCTCCTTAACCCCTTCCTCCAACCAATTCATTATACTTTTAAGATCTACTAATTTAGTATTTCAAAATAGCTAAATTATCTTTCCTCATGCCACGTAATTTAGTGTTTATATTTATAATTTTTCCATTTCCAACGTCCTTTATAATGCTAATATTATCTGAGGATTATTTTTCTTTAACTGTTATAATAATCGAAATAATTTTGACAATATATTGTTTATTGAAGCAGTGTGTCTGGTTTACTATTTTTAGCTCCACTCCTATTGTTTATTCAATTCCCGAATTTTTTTTTTAAAAAAATTCCGAGGCCGTTAACAAAGTCTGAAATAATTTAAGCTAATCTCCTGAATTTTGTTACCTCTACATTCATTCCGTTTTGCTTGTTTGAAGTATTTGGACGTTTTTTGGGTCCAAAAGTGGCAGCTCATCAGCTTTTTTGATTCCCAACAATTTCAATTGCTGGTCCCCACCCCCTTCCTCCCCCTCCCCCCCCCTTTCGTTAGGTTTCGGAACTGGTTGTGGTTTATTCATTGTTCCATATACGGGTTGTTGCTTTTGTACTTGCTTCACATTATTAATAATGTATTGACGAAACCAAAGCCACTTATCAATTATGCCGCCATGTTTATTAAATCGCAAATAAAATTAGTGAATCCAGTCCACCTGTTAAACCATTCTTTCCAAATGAGGAGAAAATGTAACAAGGCTAATTGATTAATGCCTTTTTTTTCTCTCTCTACATTCTTAGTCACAGTTTGAGCAGTTGTGTTACTGCAACGCGTGAATATTTTATTTAGCCTAGCGGGTGTGGGCTGTTTGCCCGTCAATATTTTGGTCGTTGAAGCCAAGAACTAAAAAGACCACCTTTCAGTCTCCGACTTTTATTCTTTTAATTACATCACGTTGCTTTTGATTCTTTCTCGTTCTTGCTGAGTCACTAATTCATTTTCTCCACTTAATTGCCTATGAAATACAATTTAACCATTTTTTGGGGTAAAGATGAATTTAGTAAAACATGAAGGACTTACCGCATTGAAAGTAGAACGACGTTAATGGGGAGCAAGAACTTATGCAATAACATTTTCCATTGAAAGTACCGAAGATACTCTGTTGTTGCACAGTTCAATTCAATCAATCATCTTTTGGAGTAGTGAATTATCCAATGAAAATTGTTTCCGAGTGTCGGACTCCATTAGACCTATTTAAGATAGACACTCAACATAGTTGTCATTTGCTTATACTTTGGACTGAAAGATATATACGGAGTTATTCATTGATTATAAATTAGAATTGAATTAAAAAATTTTGAAATGACTTCTTGAATTGGGACGCTAATATATTTCTATTTGCTAGTGTAATTCATGTACCGAATAGGCTATATAGCTAAATTAGGCCTTACTTAAGCGGTCGTTTGGTTGATGGGATCTCGATTCAAGTAAATAGTAGTATTGCTTCACGACGCAACAAATAAATTTAATTATTTTTAAATAAAATGACCAAATCCAATGAAATTTCTTATGTTACACCTTCAAAAACTTGCAGTAAAGTCTACTGCGTTGGTTTTACTAATTTGTTACAATTTTGAATAAGTGAGTACTAAAGTTAATTGATTAGAGATCAGGAGCAATTAACCGTACGTCACCAATTCGAATTCTCCCTGACGGCATCAATTTTCCAAAATTTGTACCATATGGCCCTCATTTCAGCTCGATTCACTTTCCCCAATCCCAATCGCACTCCTTTCTTCTTTCCCACATTAAAAGCTTTCCTCAGGGTGGAAATCTACAATAAGTGGCTTGATAAAATCGTATGATTGAATACTGGTTTCCGTTTATATTAGAGAAAAAAGTAATCAGCATTAATGAACAAGCTCAAAGGAGACTTTAATAGCCAAAGTTAATGTTATTTCATTATGTTTTTGAATTTTAATTCTTTATCATATCCTTTATTTATGATATGCCTAGATTTTATGCTTGGAGGGATTTCTTATTGAAAATCAAATCCCACGCACTCATTTTCAATTCAAACAGCCTTCTCCCCTGATTAATCCCTATCTATAGACTAATAAGTTTGCCATTCTACTTTTCGCAACTTTTTAAATTGAGTTCTTTACTAAGCCATTACCTTCTAACATTTTATTTATTTATTTATATCAAATGGCAGGCGTTTTAATGGTTATCAATAGCCATTTAGTTGACTTCAGGCTTCACAGAGAGAAGGAGGAACATCAAAGGGAAAAAAGTCGAGAGGGGGGGGGAGGGAAGAGAAGAGTATTTCAAAGGTGTAAAAGAGAGAGACACAAAGGTAGATGAAAGGTGAGGTGATTACTGTGGAAGTAGTCGAATATGACATATAGTGGGGTGATGGTAGATTGAAGACAGAAGTCAACTGCCAGTTAATAAACTTTTTTTGCCGTATGAGAATACGTTGCCCAGGGTGCACCACGTGGAGGTAAGTCTATCGCACACCCCACCTTCTAATATTAACCTGACACAAAGTTGCTTTTATGAAAAAATGAGAGAATATAGGAAGAGCTCTTCTAATATTCGAAGTACAACTTTTGGTTGCACGTGAAACTCGTCTCATTTCCTACCTCTACTAAATCTCGCAGATTTGGCACAGCAGCGTAGATGTCTGCATGAGAGATTCACCTTACAAGGAGAACAATGTAGGCAATTGGGAGATCCATCGATCCCGTTTACATTCGGAGCATTCTCATTTTTATGGTTATCACATACGCTAATGCAAATGCACTTTCTCAATTTTAATGCACTAGAGACCCATCACGATCTGCTTGCAGGGAGAATCACACATCATTTAGACATGGGGTGAAAACTTCAAAGGGTTTCGAATCATTTGATGCTACGAGTCGAGTTGCAAATATTTACTCAAATGCTATTTTCCTTTCCAACATTCATGATTGGTTCTCGGGTTTGTAATAACTGCTTGTCAATAGCGTCCACTTCTAATTAATCCCTTTTTTGATCATTATGGTCTGTCTTGCATTTAATTTTATTCTTAATTAATTAATTAATTGAACTAATTAGGAAGGACGTTGAATAAGTTACAGTTTTATGAAGTTAGTTTTGAGTTGCTAACTTCAATTCATCTAAATATTAAGCATTTTTAATGAAATATTGAATGAAATGAACTATTTAAAAGTTTTCTTGTAGCGTTCATTATTACCTTTTAATATGTCAAATCGGGATTTTCCTGAAATTTCTAAATTTTCTCAAATCAATATTTGTTTTTGAATACTTTTAAGTCGTTTTGCTCACTGTCTCATTGCATGTTTACTATTTAAGCATATTGAACTTAATATGTTACAGATCTGCTTTTGCATCGCAAATATTTTTCGAAATTCTCAAAGTTATTACACTGATTCCATTCATCGAAATTTTTTATCAATTTGGAGCAAGTTTAACCACCAATACCCACCTAACTAGGTCCCTATGCCCAGTTATTAAAGCATTAGCCACTTCTATGTCAGTTCTCATTGTTTTGCAGATTATGTGCTTTCTAGGAACCGTTGAAGAGCATTTCAGGCAGAACATTATGAAGTTTTCACAACTTGTGTTTGTAGAATATTCATTTATACTAAAAAAACATCTCAAAATGCCAAGCTTTCTAAGTAGTTATTTACCAAACGACATTCCTTATCTATTGACTGGTTAATTAATTATGATAAGTAGTCTTGCCACTTCAATTCATTTCATCTTGCAATGGCATATCAAGGCGTGTGGCCCTACGTGATCATAAGGGGTTCAAACTGGGAGAAAAATTTGTGATATTACGACATCTTTTGCCGATTTCTTTAGTGTCTGTTAATTTAGACGTCCTCTTAAATATTTTCAAACTTTGATTTATTCAATTTCTACCTTATGAGACTGGCTGTATACAGGCCGCCTTTGCTAATTCTTTATGAGAATAAATGAATTCCAATCATGAAAATAGTACTCTGATTGCTTTTCGAATTTATTTATAACAAATGGCAGGCGTTTTGATAGTTATCATTAGCTCTTTAGTTGACTTCAGGCTTCACAGAGGAGAGGAACATCAAAGTGAAAAAAAGTCGAGAGGGGGGGGAGTAACAGAAGAGTGTTTCAAAGATGTAAAAGAGACGGACACAAAGGTAGAAAGAAGATAAGGTGAGTACCGTAAAGTGGTCGAATATGGCATACAGTGGGGGGTGATGGTAGTTTGAAGTGAGAAGTCATCGGTTTTGGTGATGGTAGTTTGAAGTGAGAAGTCAACTGCTAGTTAGTTCTGGTAGTTTGAAGTGAGAAGTCAACTGTCGGTTAATAGACCGATGCAAACGCAATTTATATATCTGGATGTGGAGATAAAAACATTCTTAACAAAGCTAAATCCAAGGTATTTTAACAACTACTGAGAGATTGTGTATTTGAAGCCTAGATGAGTATTTATCAACGAATGTTAGAAGTATTCGGTGAGAAAACGTGTTTAAACTGACTATTACACAGAAACTGTTTCATTTTTGTTAGATGTTGCTACCTTTAGAACACAATCGATTGGTTAAATCAAAGAAATGTCTAAATTATATGCTTAAAAATGCATTTTTTCTCGTAAAGGTGACTAGACGACTCAGTCTTAGTCAAGATGCGGAGGCACTACTCTCGGTCTCGACAATAACAACTGCCGCTTCAACAGAGTCGAGAGGTGTCTCCGAGGAGTCATTGGACGTTGTTCATGCAATAGGTGAAACGGAAGGCCGATTTGCACGCCAACGTCAACCATCTGCAACAATCCTTATTGTTGAGGCGCTCACACTTGCTCGGGATGGGGGAATTTTGGATTGGGACGACCGGGTTTGCGATGTACTCGACGACAGGGAAATGGTAAGCACCACTTTATCTCTCTTTTTTATTGTGCATTAAACTTTATTTATTTCAAATGGCAGGCGTTTTGGTAGTTATCATTAGCCATTTAGCTGACTCCAGGCTTCACAGAGAGGAGGAGGAACATCAAAGTGACAAAATGTCGAGAGGGGGGGGGGGTGGACAGAATAATGATTTACAGATGTAACAGAGACAGACAAAAAGGCAGAGAAAAGGCTAGATGAGTACTATGGAAGGGGTCGAATATGACATGCAGTGGGGTGATGGCAATTTGAAGTCAGAAGTCAACTGCTAGTCAATAGACTTTTTTGCCGTATGAGTATACGTTGCCCAGGGTGCACCACGTGGAGGTAAGTCTATTGAATGCTCAAAGCTCAAAAGCGCGTTCTTGATTTTGTTTTCAAGTCTAGCTCACTTAAACATTTCATGTGGACTATTTAATGCACCAATGAGTTGACAGTGCAACGGTTAAAAAGAGTTCTAATTAAGACTTAAATGGAGTGATAAGTGTTATGATTTTGACTAATTGAGAAGATTGTTTCCAAGGTGTAATTGAAGCAAGAAGGGTCAAGCTTTCTTTTTAAATTTTACTTAGCTGAGTAGAATAAGTGATGAAATCGGCATGTTTTGGCTTAGAAAATCCGCTCTACAGTCAGTACCACATTGGTTTCAAGTCCATCATGGTTAAGAGGAGTTTGAGCTACAAAATTATTATTTTACGTAGCTCTGCATAATTGACCGCATTTAAAAAATTGAGCGCTATTGTCTCTACCATCTTGAGAGTTACGGGTCTATCTACCTGCCCCCCCAGATGACAATTTTCCTGAATGTAAAAAAATCCACCTCAAGTTGACCAAACAATTGCAACATCTAATAGACAAGACGCAAGTCGGATTATTTTCACTTGAAAGAGCTCAGTAAAGCTCACTTCTTGATCACTTATCCGACTTTAAGATCTCGCTCTTCCCACAATTCCTTTAATTAGCCCCGTTTGTTGTAAACTCAAGGGCATTAAACATTTGAAGTTGCAACTTTGTCGAACATTGTGGTCAGACTAATTTCTTGCCTAAAATAAGCACTTTATGTGTTTCCCATACATTTGGGCGAAAGGAGGCTTTGCTGATTTTGTTCTGCTTTTTTTTAAGTGGAACACATTTCCGTTTTGGATGATTCATGATTTTGTGGGTCTCGTCGAACGACATTTGGGACATGATCATTTGGGCGCAGAACAAAAAATAACAGCCAAAGAGGACTGCGTCTTTAGTGATCTAGCGGTTGAATATATCCTAAAATTAAGAGAGTAAACCAACCATTTGTTTTAAATATTTATTTATTACAAATGGCAGGCGTTTTGATAGTTATCATTAGCCTTTTAACTGATTTCGGACTTCACAGTGGGAAGGAACATCATAGTGAGAAAAATTCGAGAGGGGGAAAGAAGAGTGATTCACAGATGTAAAAGAGATAGATGAGAACAAACGCAGAGAAGAAGGTAAGGTGAATACTGTAGAAGTGGTTGAATATGACATACAGTGAGATCATGGTAGTCTGAAGTGAGAAGTCAACTGCCGGTTAATAGACATTTTTGCCGTATGAGTATACGTTGCTCAGGATGCACCACGTGGAGATAAGTCTATCGTACATCCCTTTGTTTTAAATATATTTTGAGGTTGGTCTTTGCTGCAGTTAAATTTAGTAGCTCTTGGGGCTTTTTACACTCTGTTCCTTGAGTTTGGACATGGCACTTCTTGTTTGCTGCGGAATTGCCTTCTTCCGATGTGACTATTAGGCACGCGTCCGACTCTCACCATCGACTATTTTGTAAGGACCACTCTCTTGTGAATGTGGAAAGTGCCTCCTTCAAAATACTGTATGTGTGGGGTAGTGGTCAATCATATTAATGTAATTTCTGTATGAAAGTCAAAACTAAGTTAGATATATTGCCTTGACCACTTGTTAAACTGTCTTATCGATGTACCCCCACCCCGCATATTGATAAGTAAGATTGATGGATGGGAAGTGAGCGCCCATTGTATAATCCCTCACCTCGAGGCGAGGCAGAACAGACAAATTCTGAAATTCTCTGTTTTTTTGTCTGCTTCCTATCATCATGGAATATTTGCCTTTCTCAGAGTTTTTATTGGATTGGCAACTAAGGCATTGCCGTTTTTGTTGACGGATTCACTCTATACTTTCTTTTGTTTTGTTAACGTGGCCAGAGCATCTAACCTATATTTTTTTCTTACTGTATGGGCTTCTAGGTTAATTAGTAAAAAATTTTTTTGTTTAGCTCTTTAGTTTTGTTTTTATCCTAATTTAAAAATGAAAGAACAGGACGTGCACTTCCGACACATTTTATTGTATTACTTCCAAAAAGGCAAGAACGTATCGCAAGCACAAAAGAAGTTATGTGCCGTATATGGAGATGAAGCCTTAAAAGACAGTGTCGAAATTGGTTTGAAAGATTTCGTTGCGGTGATTTTTCACTGAAAAATTCACAACGATCTGGCCGCCCAGTCGAAGTGGATGAAACCCATATCAAGGCCATTATCGATTCAAATCGTCACAGCACAACACGAGATATTGCAGAGAAGCTCAATGTGTCGCATACATGCATTGAAAAAAAAAATTAAAAACCCTTGGTCATGTCAAGAAACTTGATTTATGGATCCCTCACCAGTTAAAGGAAATTCATTTGACGCAACGGATTAGCATCTGTGATTCGCCGCTACTGAAACGCAATGAGAATGATCCATTTCCGAGGAAGAACCTAGTTACTGGCGACGAAAAGTGGATAGTTTATAACAATGTTACTCGCAAGAGATCATGGGTGAAGCAAGATCAACCAGCCCAAACAGTATCAAAAGCAGAGATTCACCAAAAAAGATTATGCTGTCAGTCTGGTGGGATCACAAAGGAATTGTATTTTGAACTCATGCCGCAGAACCAAACGATAAATTCAAACGTGTATGTTGAACAACTCGAAAAACTGAAGGATGCAATTGAAGATAAGCGGCCGGCATTATCAAATCGGAAGGGTGTTGTTTTCCACACATCTTTGATAACGCAAGGCCCCACACATCTTTGGTTACTCGGCAAAAATTATTGGAACTGGGTTGGGATGTTTTGTCACACCCACCATATAGTCCTGACCCTGCGCCTTCGGATTACCATTTGTTTCGTTCCATGCAAAACTCTTTAAATGGTAAAATTTTCAACAACGCGGATGATGTCGGATCACACCTAATTCAATTTTTTAATAGCAAAGACCAGACATTTTACGAACGGGGAATTTTTACTCTGCCAGAACGATGGAAAAAAGTCATCGACAAGAACGGCCAATATCTAATTGAATAAAGTTACATTTTTAAACGAAAATTCCGAATTTGCCTTCTTATTTGAGATCGGCAATGACTTAGTTGCCAACCTAATAGTATGCAAAATCCACACTCTCTGATTAGGCTAAATTTTGAAAAGGCAATTTGATTTACTTTTGTTTGAAATGAATTTACTTATTGTTTTTGCCAATTTATTTAATTTTTCATTGTAATTGTGGGTAGATATCTTTGAAGTAATTTTGAATTTGTCTCTGAGTGGGGGTAGTTTTTATGCATCAGTTGCGGATTACCCTTTGAAAGACCTGCTATTGACCGCTCAAAGCTTTAGTGCCAAGTCATTTTATCACTTCTTTTGGTGCTTAATTGAGGTGGAAATGCAACGATTGTTAGTTCAATTTTTATGGCCCATTTTATTGTACAAAAAAATACTGGAAATCAATTTAAAGTAAGGTTCACATATTCACCTTTTCTCTTCCAGTCGGGAAAAATTGTGACATTGGTGCATATTCTAAACGAATCCTCTAGGATAAAAGCTAAACTTATTGAAATTTTCCTGTGAATCAATGGCAAATGTTTGGTTAATTTCTCTAATCTCTTCCAGTGAATAGTCATTTAGAGAGATCATTTAACTGATTTGTTAATTTATTACCGCAACTTGGGGGAGGAGGGGGGGGGGGTAGGGGAGAGCGGATGGTTATCATCCAACCTTCACTGAATTCAAAGAACGGAGGATATTTCAAGGGGCACTTGTCTTTAAAGAGCACCACGTAGACGCCTGCCGCCCCCCCCCCCCAATTAGTCAACTGCAGTCGTAGAATAATAAAGACAACTGGAAACTAGAGGACCCTAAAGGGGATAAATCCATAAAGTAAATTGCTAACTAGCTATGTACGCAAGTATAGAACTGTGAATGCAGAAGATAAAACGTCGTCCTATTGTTATTTGTGTTAATTTTGTTGTTTGCCAAACAATTTTCAGTTAATAAAATAAAGTATGTTTCAATATGGTGGTGTATTGTACATCGTAACTCCATCTATTCCATCTTCAATCTTACCAACAAATCCTGAACCTGGGTTCGAATTTCCATTAAAACTTTTTAAGATTTCGGCTGCATTTAACTCTGTGTATGCCACGTCAAACCTTTACTGAGATTTTGCTGTATAAACATTTTTTTCGTTAAATTAGTGATAGAGATTGTAATATGACCGAGTAAGTGTTCATTGTTTTTTCCCACTTCGTCTCACCCTTAGACACCTTCGACCTTCGATATCATCATCATCATTAAAATTAAACCAATTAATGTTATTTTAATGAAAAAGGTTTGATTTCCAATTTTAGATTTAAGGTGATTGAAACGTCTCACACCTAAATGTCATTCGTAATGGTAGCATTTAGATTTGATTCGAGTTTATTTACAAATAACTATCTAATTGGCTGAAAATCGTGAATATCCGGAAACAATTCACCCTAATCTTGCTCATCTTATTTTCTTACATGTATTAGGTATGCATGTTTCCGTCAGATTAGTAAAGGCAAAAAAAAGCTTGATAAATAAATGAACTCACAACTATTATCCAGAAAATTTAATTGGCATTACTTGCATTTGCAATTCACTTAATGAGGACAGAGACACCAAACGTTAATCAAGTGAGAAGGTTATGAAAATGCGATTGGAAACGAGGTTTTGATGGGATATTAGCTGGCTAGGAAACATATCTTGTGACTAAACTAATGGGAGAAGAGCCATTCCTGTGAGGTGGACGGGGAACGCGTTTGTTTGGTGGAGTGAAAAGTAGCTGCTATGACGAACAATGATCCGGACTCAGAATCTGACTCACAATAATTAACATTGATTTTGACATTCAGCTTGCCTTCAAATTGGCATTGTAGCGTATAGCGTATAACCACCGAACAATCTAAGGTAAATGACGTTTAGACATAATAGTTTTCCATTAGTAATTCAGTTCGGAAAGCCTATAGCTATGTCAAAAGTGAATAATTTGGTTTCATGAAACTATTAATTCACTTAATTATTTTGAAAATCAAAGTATAAGGTAATATTTTTTATGGGCAAGCAAATATAGAAACAGAGCTTGCTTTATACATAAGAATCGGTTTTATTATTCATGAGCACATAAAACAGAACATTTAAGCAAAATGAAATCATTTCTTCTTCTTTGATCTCTCGAAATCAGCGGATCAATGATAAAATTTTAATGATTTTGACTATAACTAGCCAAGGAGAAGGCTAATTAAATTTCCAAGAATTTCAAATGCTTACCAAAGAGATGTGGCAATCGGTGCTGTAGCTTTAACGAATAATATTTTCGATACAATTTGAACATCGGCTACTTCATTTTCCTCTTTCACTTGATAAATCGAGTTGAAAGTCTTTCTGAATCCCGCCCTAACTTGCTGTGCACTGGTTAACGTACCACTTGGCGGTATCAGGAGTCATCACTTCAATACCCAAGGGCAATTGCACGAGTTATGTTGGGCCTATAGCGGGTAACAGAAAACGAATTTTTTCACCACAGAGACTTCATCTTATACTACTCATGTGTCTGTGATTAGCTAAGGAACCCGATTTCCAAATGTGACTCGGAATACTCGTGTACAATGCAAGCTTTCTTCCACTAATTGCACGTTTCGGATGATTAACAAGTATTTCAGAGACGCTTTATTACCAATCAAGACCCACCCCTAGGTTAAAGGTAGTAGGGCTTCTGAATACCTTTAATAAATAGGCACAAGAAAGAGATAATGACCGTGAGCTTGGCAGCCATAAAGTAGGTTTAGTATTGAAATTGCGGTAGAATTATTGAGGGTGGTCGCCAAAATTTTTGCAAATGTCTTTTTTGTGTTTAGCTGCTGGCAAGATTCAAGTGGGACTTTCCTGACACACGATCTCTCAGTTCCTCCGCATCCACACTTCCTCGAACTGGTAAACCCACAACTCCTCTGGTGGTACCATGCAATGGTGAGCTAGAAGATTTTCAAGCGTTCTCCTCCAGTGCTCCTGTAGTTCCGAATTCCACAGCGGACTCCTGGACACCCTCGTCCTCAGTGGTTAGTCTGAATCCGCCCTTGAGAACAAACGCCCCGTTGCCTCCCACATATATCCAAAGAACACCCTCGCCGATAAGTCTTGATTCCAATATCGGTATGCATCTATTTTTGTGAGCTTTTCAAATGAATTCTTCCAATATATTTGTAATTAATACCAGGCAAAATGTAAGCATGAATTCTCACTTAAACTAGTGTATGTTCAAAATGATGTCTTCGGCCAATAATTTGTAATTCTTTTTATTTATTTGACATTTTTCCAGATTCCTTAGTGCATATTTTCAAGCTAATATTCCATAGTCCCTTATTTGTGTTAGATCATTTCCACAAAATTCAAAGAGGACTGATTGGCCATTCCAACCTGTTTCTTTCGATAATTAGTCGTGAAGTTGAATTTGCGATTATTTTAAAATGTAAGTATGCCGATGGTTATTTTGATAGTTATCATTGGGCCTTTAGCTGAATTCGGGCTTCACAGAGAGGAGGAGGGACATCAAGGTGACAAACAATCGAGAGAGGGAAAAGAAGAGTGATTCACAGATGTAAAAGAGGCAGACAGACACAAAGGTAGGGAAAAGGTGAGGCGAGTACTGTGGGAGCAGTCGATTATGACATATAATGGGTCATGGTAGTTTGGAGTCAGAAGTCAACTGTAGGTTTATGGACTTTTTGCCGTATGAGTATACTTTGCCCTGGGAGCACCACGTGGAGGTAAGTCTATATCACACTTCGTTTTCAAAACAGAATTTCTCACTGGTAAGGAACTACGATCCCATCTGAAATATCCCTCATACTTTTCTTAAGGTAGTCTCTTGAATTGGTATATTATGTATCTCTTTTAAAAATTTCAGGCAAAGTACGTTTAGAAGATGTACTTTCTGTTCATGGCTCTCTGTTAAAGCAAAGAGAAGCCAAACTCATGTTTGTCTGCAACTCAAGGTGTTTGTACTCTTTTACGACTTTTTGCCTTTGACAAACTGACATGTAATTTGGTTGCCCTGGGACGAGGTGTGGTCATCTCCGATTTAACGGCTTGTTGACATCCAGATTACACGTCATAAGGTGCAATAGGGTGTTTATTAAAAGACGTTTTCTCAAACGATAAGGGGCGTTCTTTACGGAGTGTACAAAATCTAATTACCTCTGTCCATGAGAATACTCCATTACCATATTGTACATCAAATGTTATAAAAATATACGGTCTAATCGATAATTTTGTGAATAAAGAACTGCACATAAATTTCAATCCAAATTCTTTACTCTCTCTACGCGCTATACAATTTAGCACAATTTATTATCAGTGTTAATGGGGGATTAATTCACTCTATTTTAAAATAATTTTATATTTCTTGTCTGTTGAATTGCTACTGATAGCAGTAGCATTCGCAAATCGCGCGTACTGAAATCGCGAATACTTCTTTGTTTAACGAAAAAATATATGTTTGTCAGAAGAGAGGCATTTGCAATTTATCTTTTAAAACATTAAAAACGGCAAAGGTGTAGTAGATGTTGCATTGACAGCAGAGAAGTGGCAGTTTGCGAGCTTCTTAAAAGGCAAGAAATAAAGAAAATGCAAAACCCCCAAGCCTTGGGGGTCAAATATTGACAAAATATTCGTATTTTTAATCATAAATATGCAAACAACAAATACGTTTTCATGGCACCTATCGTGGAATAAGGTACATCAATAGCTTTATATCTAATTTCTTAAGCAGCATTTTACCTCTTTAAGCTCTCATTGATTCCCTATGCAACACTTGTTTTCGTCTGTTCAGTTGTCAATTAGTCAACCTCGCGGGTGCTCTTAGGCATGTTAAGCACACTTGGTGTCCGGCTTCATTTTCAAGCATAACGCTTTGTAGACCCACTTTGGGGAAGAAAGCACATGCTCCGAAAGGATGTGATAACGGTTACATAGTGTAGAATTCAAAAGAGCTCACTTTTTAATCAATGATACTCATTACTCTAAGATGAAATAAAATCAATATTGGGGATTTTGGTGTAAGTAGATTATGCTACCGTGGAGTATAACCCTAAACCCGATTTAGGGAATTGTTTTTTTCAACGATTATTGAAGGGAGGGAATCCATATTCGGGAGTTTCCCTTTCATGTCTCTTCTTCATCATTTATTGGAGGTAACCATTGCACGGTATCTTACTTGTAAACTCTGACGTCACCGATGAGAGAATATTAATCTCTCTAGCGTTTTCCAAGTAAAGAGCAAACTTTATTTTTCCTATGTATATATATTTTCCTGGCATGTCACTTCAAATGAGAAAGTAAAAAAAATGTAATAAAAGTAGGGAGCAGAATAAGAGCGATAGAGTTGAGTACTCTTTCTTAAGATGTACGTACTTCTATCAAATCCAGAAACACGAATAAATAATGGATTTCCATTAAAGATTCCAGTGCATGCTAATGCAAATCTATGCAGTCAGGTTGTTCAACCTGACTTATTGAACAAACAAGATAATTGATTTGGCATTCCAACGTTCGAATTATTTTAGAATTTACTAGTCTCAGTAAGCCTCATTAATAGCCAGTCGATTAAATGTTGTTTGAAAAGATTAAGATAGCTTTTTAAGTGCCTTAACGCTTAGGGCGTGCCATCTTTACTGTCGCGTATTAATTAATTAATGGAAGAAGATGAACTGGACAAACATATACATATATATATATTGGTTTTTGGACAGCAAATTTCAGTATCAGCTGAAGTGTATTAAAATATTTGCAGTGACTTGCAAGATACTTTCCCATAAAAAATCTTGCACACGTAACACTAAAAAGACTATGCTTCAAAGGCATCAAAGGTGCTTTGAACTGTTCTGACCTGATTCAAGATGTTATCATTTCCTTCCAATGGCAGGGAAAACGCATTAAAACTCTGTCCCAGGGAACCTTTTAAAAAGACGTAGAAGTTGTAGTTAAAAAATAAGTAGATTTTGCGTCTCTCTTTTCGTCTTATTCTTCTTCTAGCAAAAGGGGCTGATTGTCATAATTTCGTACGATTTTGCGGACTTCCCCTTTCTAAGCACTTTTTGTAGCATCTATCTATTGAGCGTAGTAGTCTACCATTTGAAGGACCATTCCTGAAGTTTATTTATATCAAATGGCAGGCGTCTTGATGGTTATCATTAGCCCTTTAGTTGACTTCAGGCTTCGCACAAGGGAGGAACATCAAAGTGAAAAAAAAGTCGAAAGAGGGGGGGGGAGAACAGAAGAGTGTTTCAAAGGTGGAAAAATGGTGTGGTGAATACTGTGGAAATAGTCGAATATGGCAGAGTGAGGTGAGTACTGTGGAAGTAGTCGAATATGACACAGTAAGGTAAGATGATTACTGTGAAAGGGGTCGAATATGACATAAGTGAGGTGATGGTAGTTTGAAGTGAGAAGTCAACTGCCAGTGAGGTGATGGTAGTTTGAAGTGAGAAGTCAACTGCCAGATAATAGACTTTTTTGCCGTATGAATATACGTCGCCCAGGGTGCACCACGTTGAGGTAAGTCTATCGCACACCCCCCATTCTTGAATTTGGACGAATGATTCACTTATACCCTCTCATTTCAATTTCAGTTTGTTGATCGTACGCTATTTCACTTTTTCGGTCACATTTTACGTATCATTCATATTCATTAACAGGATCAATTGAATCATTATTAGGGTTTATTAAGATTGTTAAGCGCTTCTGTAAATGTTTTCATTATATTTACTCAAGTCTACATTGGTAGCACTTTCGAATTTAGCAACGGTCTAAGTTATGCTTAATGTTTTGAATTTTATGGTCCTTTATTTATAAGTGACTATTCGATTTACGAGGTACTAAGGTTTTAGAATTACTTAAGCGGTTACCCTCTGCTTCATAGTTCTATTGCCACTTTGTCAGTTCTAATACAACTAATTCCAACGCCTCTTGCACCTAAGATTATAAGCCATAGACAACCTAAAGGACCACTCTTGCATGTGTAATTGGGTAGGTTGCGCCAACTAACTTAAGTTAATACCTCAAAGCAAGACTGTCCTCTGGTTGGGGGCAAATTTGCCCGACTTTGTCTGCTGATAAGTCACGCCCCCCTCCCCCTCCCCCAAATGCTGTCGTCTTTTTTCTTCCCAAGTCAAAACAAGTAGTCATGAGTGCACTAGGATTATTCAAATTTGCCGCTATTGTTTAAATTGATGGCTCATCATCAAACTAATCATAGGCCAAAATAGGCAATAAATGTACCCAGTCGGTTGCTTATGCCCATTTCCTTTTGTTGATTATGCTTAAAATTTGCGTTTATAAGAAATTTGTGCTGTGTTGCCGCTCTTGTTGTGTCTATCTTCAGCCCTGGAGATATTGTCTGCGTTTTTTTATTTTACTGCTTCTCTTAGGAGGGGATTTTCTGTCTTGTGTATAATTTGGTCAATTTTGATCCAGTAGCTTTCAAATTCTCTTTAATCAATTGGGAGGTTTGAAGGATTTTTGATAACTTATTAAAACATGTTTCCATTTATGGGGTACTGAAGTTCAATAGAAGTCTGGTGGATGTCGTGGTATAATTGTGTCGTTCTGTAATTTCTAGTTTATGATGAAATGAACTAAAAGAAGAATTATTAGAAGCTGAGATTTCGAATTTCGCTCTTCTATTTTCAACCAAGACAGTAGTGAGCAGAAGTTATTGAAAGACGCCAGAAATTACGAGGGTAAGGGAGAGGGGAGAGATATAACGTATTTGGGCAGTTGGAAAAATTTACCATAGGGGATATATTCAATTCAATCGGACTCAATGAGACGCACACACACTCGTCACTGCGTCTCCGACAATCGATCATAACAAGTATGAGGAGAGGCCCTCTATTTAGAGTCTCGAGGACGAGAAGAGAGTTGAAGACCGAATGTGGAGAATGGAACTGCGCAGCCAACCAAAAGGCCAATGTCTGGGTCTTATGGCCATTCCTTATTGAATATGTTTGCTCAATTTAGTTATGCCTGATCGTTTCATTACTGGTACATGTATCTGCTGTGGCAAATAAACACAATGGTGTACATTCTGTCTGTCATTATTCAAAGATTGATTTGAATAGGCAATCATATTAGTTAGTGGAAAATTCTTGGAACCATACTCCACGATCCAGTTTGTGTAGAGTTCGAATGGATTTTATCCCAGTATATTGCGCGATTTGCCTTTCAAATTTATTCGATTTGAAGGGCGTTTATTATGTGGACTGATGCTATTAAAGCTAACCAAAGTGACCTTCAATTACCAAGAATCCAATGGCACTTAATCGTTGCCCACATTTGTATTTTTAGTATTAAAAATATGCGGATATAAATAGTCGAGGCATATGATCACTGCGTCTGTTTCAATTCTCTTAAATATACGATTTTATTTCTGCTAATATGGTGTAAAAATTTAAATCCTATTTCACAAATCTTATGAGAAACGGTTTCTTTCCTACTACTCTTTAGTTCTATTAGTTGGCCTAAAGATAGAAGTATGATCGTCCAAATAAACGTCCAATTATGAGCACATTTTTAGCATCTTTGATGTTCTCAAAAGTGCAATTAACATCACCTCTCTTTTCTCTTCCAGAGTGCTAAATTGTAAGGAAATCAAAATAGCAAGTAAATGATCCTCATGAGTAAATTGTAGTAGTTCAAAGAAAAAAAGAGTCTTATTTTTAAAATCAGTCAGTAATAGTTATTTTTTGTTTAAATAATAAGAGTGAGGAGCTGAACATCAAGATCGAATTCGGACTATTTAATTGGTTTGTTAGGAGCGTTTATATTTTTCTAGATATACTTCCTACAAGTTAGTGTATATTTAAAATCCGTGAATGAAAGTGGGAAAAAAATCATTTCGTTACGATTCGCTTCTCTTAATCTTGGAATTCATCTTTGTCTGAGAGCGGCTCGTCTGTACTAGTGCTGGGAACAAGGACTTGGACTTTAGGTATGAACAAACTTAGATTTGCTGGTTTACTAGAGTTGAAGGTTAATATGGCAGAATGCACAACACTTAAAAAAGGGAATACCATATATATATATATATATATATATATATATATATGTGAAATCACCTTTCAATTATTTCAGCAAGGCCGTAATATAGACGTCTCATCGATTTAGGCCTATTGAATGTACTTGTCAAATTAATAGTGATTCGGTGTTTGTATTTTTGGCATTGCTCAAAAAGGATTCAGGATGCTCTCTGGCCGCATTTAAATATACCGCATTTTTATTAATTAAAAAGACCCCCGCCCCCCTCCTCCCCCTTTGGCTAAATGCTTCACGTGCAGTGGTTGCCTCCACTTCGAACGTTAATGCGGTGAGCGGCTTAATTATTTCAGCGCTTTGCTTAATAAGTGTGAATGGAAAGTATAAACTAGTTAGGGTGAAATTTCGCATAAAAATTGCGTATAAAAAGGGTAGATGGAAGGCGGTGGGGGGGGGGGTTGGCTTTGGCCAAGGCAAAGGTAGAGCGGCGTCAGTTTAATCAGGATGCATTAGCTAATTAATTCACCAAATACAACTCATCCGTCCTTGGGAAAATCTCTCTCTCCCCTTTTAACTTCCTCTGTAACCATGGCGATACCTCTCTCTCTTTCTAAGAACCACGTTTTAAGGCCGTGGTGCTCTGAGGGTAATTTGTCTGCCATAATTAATGCAAAGAGGGAGAGAGAGAGAGAGTGTGTGCCCTATCTTAACTTTTATTCAAGCCTCCAATTTACCTAAGATTTTGATACATTTACTCATGTCACTTCAAAAATGACTTCTTACTAACAGCGTTAGTAAATAAAGGCGAGAAGATGTGAACCAAAGGAAAAAAATTCAAACGTTCAATGTTGCAAATGGCTTTCCAATTCACCTACAGTAAGACCTACAGTTTCAAACATTATGGTAAGGCATTTGATCCCTGGATGCGTTTCAAGGTACTTTATAT